AGAGAGAGAGAGAGAGAGAGAGAGAGAGAGAGAGAGAGAGAGAGAGTGAGCACAGAAAAAAATATGTTGTACTTTTGAATGTTGTAAAAAGTGTTCGTCTGATTCGAAGCCAGTTTACGCCAGTCTCATGCTGCGAATTTTCAATCAAACCTAAATAAAAACCAACTGAGATTGATGTCAAACATAACGAAAAAATAAATACGGAAACTGTGTGGAAAAAAAAAATTATATTTGTATGCTTATACGTAGAGGAAAGCACAACGAAAAAACAAAGCAAAGTAAACAAACAATTCCAAAACATACAGAACAGAGATAGAGTGCAGTTAAATAGAAACTGGTTTGCAAATAGAAAAGCATGCAGAAAACAGAACGAAGATGAAAGAAAACGAACATAATCAGAATTAAAAGTTTGTAAATAATTCATTACCTTGAAGGACTGTTTACATGAATGCACAATGAGTTGTGTTATTATTTTGAATAGGATTTAAATATATTTTTTTGTGTTGTTTTTGTTTTGTTTTTTGTTTTGAGAGTTATTAATTTGTTTCATTAGCATTTTTCAAGCACATCATCCGTAACCGTACATAGAAAGCGATAAAAAAAATTAAACAAATGATTAATCACAACAAAAATTTCCTAGAAATAAGAATTTCTTAAGACTAATTATGTGTTTATGTGTTTTGTTCATTTGGTCTGAGTTTTATGTGAGTGGGACGATTGAGGTGGAAGGTAGATAAAATGAAGGGGAAATGACGAAGGATCTAAGGTATACCTATAGGTCTTTGATTTTGCGGGGAGTTGAAAAATGTTGCATTTCAAAAGGAATAAGTGAAATGAGGTCATCATTGATTTTATGGCTTATAAAATTTTCAAGTCTTCATTGTATAAACTGGGCATTCCGTCTTTTTTTTCTCTTACTTTTCCAACAAATGAGCTTTTCGTGTAAAAATGAAAATTTCATATCAACATGAAAGGAACAAAAAAATGAATTTCAAATAATCTGGTCTTTTTTTCTGTACACAGAATCAACGGAAATGTTAAATGTATGTAAAATGAAGAATAATTGATTAACTGAATAAGTGTTTGCCATTGAAAACAGGTGCCTGGATTCAATCATGGTGCGTTACTTTGCCAATTTAATATTCATTCTATGCCTAATATTATTCCATTTGTGTATGTAAAATAAGGTGCACGCTACCACACAGACACATCAAATTCAAAATGATACCAAAACAAGAATAAATTCGAAATCAAGAACGGAATCTCTGTGTCATACACAGTAATACAACAGCTATTAGATCAGATCAATGGCATCATACATCTAGCTAAATTTTAATTTTTTTTTTCATTTCTGCGTTGCTGATTCTCTCTAGACAAGCAAAACTGTGTGTATATGTGTGCGCATTATTACAGGAGCTTATATCGTCTGGGCTTCAATGATGGAGTGGCATTTTAATAATTTTGCTTTTCTTTTAAATTTTCATTTAGGTTATTGGATTTTTTTTTCTTAGAGCTTTCATCGTTACATGGAAATAATGGATGAAATTAAGGATCAACGAAAGGAAAAACGAAAAAAAAACTTATAATTCTCATCACATAAAAATGTGTGTAATATAACCGTTAAAAAAATCATAATGTCATAAGAATTATGTATGATTTAAGTGAAGGTTCGTTGTGAAAGAAATGGAATTTTCGAGCACGACAAGTCACGTCACCACCGCCATCGTTTCTGGAGTATGCACGAATTATATTTGGCTTTTGGTGTGGCTCAAATGCGGTGTGGATTAGCAACGGTCACTGTGGGCCAAGTGACTACACAGCCTCAAACTGGATATGTTTATTGAATGTTGAAACGAGCATTATTAGAGAATTACTACACCATGGCCGTATGCATGGATACACTTTGAATGTTCATAGATTTAAACATGATTGCAATCAAACGCCGATCGTCGCGCTAAGGGCACATGAAACAATTTTTAATCAATTTGCTGCCTCACTCTTTGACCCTCTGCACTTGATGGTGGCCCGGCCTGGCCAGCTTGATTTGATTTTACAGCCAGGTGAAAATGAAAAACAAGCGTACGATTTTTGCATGCGGACCATAAATGGTTTATATGTGCCAGCAAAAACAGTCCTTAAACCGCTCGAGAAAATGTGAATAAATCAAATGTGGAAGAAACGTGCCATTTTTGCGAGAGAATGGCAGAAAATGAGCGAGCGAACGCTCGATGTTTCACAATCGGGATATTTTTTGGGAGGCTTTCTCTGACCAAGCGCATCGCCGACTGTTTTGATGCTGTGTCGCATCATTAAAACGCTTCTTGCATTTGTACGGATGTATGTGTGTATGTGTGTGTGTGTGTGTGCGAACTGACTCATCATGATGTTCAGCAAACGGACACGGAATGAACATCAATCATTCTATTCAGATTCATCGTTGAAAATTGAAAATAATGCTCGGTTATTATCCGTTCAGGTGAAGAATAACGACATTAACTTCGGTAAAATGGCCTGAAACACCAGCCATCATCATTTAAACGAGCTACCAATTGAAACGTTCAGTCAGTACGAAAGTCGGTTTTTGTGGCTACTCATCCATTGTCCGCCATTATCGTTGCTTTTGCACACACACACACACTCGTACCCACACCCATACCGACGACGACGTTTGTATTACGGCAATATTCACAAATGAAACGTGTTTATCTTTTCATGAATTTCTCTCGGTACACACGGTTGCAAATGACACACAAACAACGGCAACAACATATATCCGTGTACCTGTACACTACAATCTCTCTTCAAATATTTTAACTGAATATGGCGGCGAATGAAGCTTCATGTTGTTTTTTGACTGGTCGAGAGAGAGAAAAAATTGTGTGGACAAAAGAATGAGAAAAATGAAGGTGATCTCCATCATTTTTGGTCACATAGAATTTTGAGCAGGAGAAAAAAAAGCATCTCGTTTATAACAGAAATTGCATTGGTTTTTTTTCCACCCGAAAAAAAAACACGAGACTGAAACACAAGAATCGACGTCACCAACGACATTTCTTTCACCGATGCCATTTAAATTCATTTAAATGAGAAATGGAAATTCTTGTGTACTTTTACTGGAAGGAAAAATGCGACGAGCAAAACGAAAGGTATACATGGCCATACACTTTCGCACACACACACACACACACACACACGTCACACTTGAGTATGCAGCAAAATACGCGCAAGAATAGAAGCAACCAACATTGGAAATTCAATTAAATCGACATAGTATTTTCCATTCGCCCATTTTCCGATAGGTGTGCGTCGCCGTGTGTGTGTTTGTGCGGGTTTTTCTTAATCAAGCTAGAAAATCATGTCGTTCACTTTGCCATTCATACACATGAATCGACGTGCGAGTTTAGATAGTGGCAACACTGGCAATCGTATATGTATAATGTGTTGAAGGGTTTCAATTAATGTGTTCATTTACATTTTTCGTTTGTGATAGAATTTAATTAAAAAATCTTAATCGTTTCCCCACTGTTCCATTGCTTAAAATTGGATATTCAAGCCGGTTGTCGACGTTTCTTTTTTTCACGTTGCTCTCGTGTGAGTTTGTATCAGACCTTGTCTCACTTTCATATCATCGGAATTGTTCGGTGTGAGTTTTTGTGTGTGTGTCAATGCTAGTATGTATAGTTGAGAAAATAAAGAACCTCTATCTCTCTCTTTTTTGAGACAATATCAAGGATCGTGAGAGTGAGAGGGGATGGTGTAGAGCGTAGACACACTTTTTCAGGCAGCTGCACTACGCCTTGAGACAATTATTTTTCTCGTGCATTCCGTGGAACATGATTACCAGTTGGCACGAGATAAAAGATTCAACACCTGTGCACCAAGCAGCCAGTCCAGTGCTGCAGCATTCATGTTTTAGAACCTGAACATTTGATATCATAACGATTTTCGTTCGTTCTCGTTTGCCCATTCCATACCCAGTTCATTTTCTTTGTTTCTTTCCTTCATTTTTTTTTCCATGTTCACAACGAATTTTTCAACTCAGGACAATAAACACAAGACCAAAGAAAATAAAACGAAATTATATAGTGGAAACGAAGGGGGAATTAACACACGTAAAAAGATTTAATTTGCTAAATCAAAAACATGAGATCGAGATTAAAGGGAATAAAAAGAACATAGTCCATACCTCAAGGAATTGCTTGACAGTTGTGTCAACTACCATTAGCGGACGGTGAATTAAGTGAACGACGCCATTTTTCACGGGTATATTTGCGCGTACGATTTCAGCTAATACTACACCTGTTGAGTGCTTTGAGTCTCCGACAACCGTATTTGATTTTACATAAGCTAGAAACGAGAGAGAGAGAGAGAGAGAGAGAGAGAGAGAGAGAGAGAGAGAGAG